AAGTCATTAATAATGGAGTGAGGTGGTATTGTGCAGCTCAGAATATAATCATGCTGTGCAGGGGGGAAAAAAAATCATGCTCATTATTAGCCCCTGCCAGATGAGTGAGGGTTGAACATAATAACAGTGATCAGTATCATTCCCACTCTCTTGCTTGTGTGTGAGTGTTCATGAGGGAGCAGGGACTGGTTCCTGTTGTCAGTGGTGAGATGTTGTGCGTGCAGACGAAGCCTGGTGCAGAACAGAGTTAAAGAGCATATGAGATTGGGCTAAAAGAAAACAAACACAGACTCAGCCCTGAGGCTGTTCCATGCAGGCTCGCTCTGCTGCTACATGCATTACTTTAAACCAGCAATAATCCCTGTGTTTCTGACTGTCTGATAAAGTAAAGAATTCAGGAAAGTTAATCAATTACTCAAGACGATTTATCTGTTAACTAGAATATCTTTACTGACGATGTGTAGATAAAGCTATTAAATTAAATGGTGATAAACCTGATTTGAAAAAGGAAAGAGTAAACATGCTCTGACTGTGACTTTTCAGATGCATGTGAGCTCCCCTGTGACACAAACAAAACCAGCTGGCACAGTGAGAGGAAGTTAGGGAGACAACAGAGTTTTCACTTTTCTAATTTTCCTTCCCGTTTAGCACAGAGTGGTGTCATCCCCGCGGTGTGTTCTCAGCCCCAAGTGAGGACCATCTGTCCGCTTTGCCCGCTGACTTTTTTCAAAAGTGTGTGTGTTCAGGTCAGCGGCAGAGAGCGAACACTGCTGTGGATGGTTTGGAGGTTTTTCAACAAAAAATAAAAAGAGTCTCATATTTGAGGTCTGATTTTGAAAAGCCAAATTGAATCTCACTGCAAATGTATCAGTGATTAAAAGCAGAGAGGTCCCTCTAAATATAAAAGGGAGTCAAGCTGCTGCAATCAATTCTGTTTATAAATGATTCACTCATGAATTTGATGTTTTCAGATTAAATAATTAAAAAAAAACAAAAAACCATAAGAATACATTCCAGCCCGTCACTCTGAGTCTTCATTAGAGGCTTTTACAGCTTCATATCGATGGAAGAGCTCACATGTTTCCCTTTTGATCTAACCTTTATTTGCGAGAAGTGTGAATAAAGTGCAGTGGTGAGAGACATTTTCTCGGCTATTTAAAGGATGGGGGACAGGAAAAATATGTCAGAGTCCGTGGAGTGTCACTACACTTTAATTAATTTTCTTTTTTTAACCTGTTATTTCGCATCTTTTTCTTTGCATACTCCATAATTTTACATTTGTCAATCATCAAATAAAAGCACAAACTGAGCAAATGTTCTCCTACACTTTAATGCTGCATTGGAGTTACCTCAGAAGTTAGATGTTGGAGCTGAAAATGACGTCACACCCGAGTTCCCAGCGTTTCAGGTAGCAAGTCAGAAAAAAGTAAAATCGGAGGCGGAAACAAGATGGCTACATCTATGAAAGTTATTGTAGCGCTTGCGTCGTCTGAATATTAGCAAGGACAAGGCAAGTGTTAAAATAACTTTCGTACATGTAGTGACATCTTGTTTCTGCCTCCGATTTTGCTTTTTTCCGACTTGCTAACTGAAACACTGGTAACTTGGGTGGGACGTCATTTTCGGCTGCAACATCTGACTTCTGAGGTACCTCCAACACAGCATAGTAATTCCAACACTTGACTTTATAATATGCAGATACAGAATAACTTAAACTACCTGTGACTACCAGCAACTACCAGCAACTCTCAGTTTATGTCAATTTTGGCGCCCCCTGTGGACAGAGCAGTCTTGACTTCTCTTGTTCTCCACTTGATTAAATATTTTAATCTGACAGGTGAGATTTGTGGACCAGCCTAAATATGGGAATATAAAACACTGATTTTTTACTGTTACCAGCTTTGGCAGAAGTTGAACCGTTAGCGTGTAGCTCACTGTTTCTTTTTGATGCTTGGAAACGGGAGATGCTGGAGGCAGAAACCAATATTATCTTAAAACTTTTAAAAGCCACTGAAACCAGCAGACACACCATCACCGTAGCTTGTATAACATTTTGAACAAACTGTGAAAACAAGCTCATTCATCACTGCATGGCTGGGATATTTTCCTCTGCAGTGACACGCATGCGTCTTGAGATATTTATGAGCAAGCTTCTCCTCTCTTTGCTTTTTCTGTGTCCATCTGCTCAGATGAATTGACATAATTCACTGTTTTATTTATCCCACAGCAAACAGAACTCTGACTCACTCTCAGGCTGAGACATAACATCATCTGCCCATCAAGTGAAAAATGGAAACTGAACAATGACCCGATCATGACCCAGGTATAAAAGATTTGTGTGGTGAGCACTTATTAACAAAATCCTTAATAAAATTGAGCTATGGTTTCTTACTGTTGTTTTGTTATGGTACCAGATACCAATTATAGAAGCTAGCCTCTTTCTACCTGTGATCTCCTCTCTTTGTCCTCCTCTTTTAACAAAAGGAGAGATAGTCAAGATGAAATCCAGCAGGAAGTATGAAAAAGCCAAAACAAGAGAAAGTCAGGATTAATGAGATGACCAGTCAAACACGCACAGCTCTGGTCCTCTGTGAAGAAGAGAGGAAGTCACTGCATGTACTAAAAAAACCTATAAGGCAGAAATCAATTAAAGATTCACTTCTTCACAGGGACAGACAACAAAGATGTAGGCATACTGAAGGAGGAGGCAGGATTGAAAAAACAGGAGAGGTATGCAAAGGACTGTGCATATGTTTGTCTTTATAAACTTGTGAGGACCAACCCTTTGACATCCACATGAGCAAGAAAGTCCTAACAAGGGCAGCTGTCTATGTAGCAGAATCCTAACAAATAAAACACTTGAATGAGCTCCTGAGACTGCAATGCATGTTCTGCATTTTGAAGAGATGATTAAACAATTACTTCTGAAAGTACATCAATGTTTTCCATTGTCCCCATTACAGAACTTACATAGCATTGTCCTCTGATATAACAAAGACATGTATGAATGTGCGTGCCTGCGTGCGTACGTGCATGTGTGTGATACATTATTCACGGTTTTCTTTCCTTGGCTGTGCAGGGCTGTATTCAGGGTCTTGTGTGATGATTTACATCTTTCTCTCTGACTAGATTATTTGAAGTTCTATCAGGTTAATACATAAATTATATAAGAGTTTTTGCATTAATCCAACAAACTTCTAATCTAGACCTACCAGCCTGTAAACTTGTCTAAAATAAAACCAAGCCTTTAGGACTAGATATTACAATATCATAAATATGTGATCAATGGATCAATGGCAATACTTTTATTCTGATGTATTTATGCAACACTGCCAAACTGCATTCAGAGTCCTGGCATTAAGGAGACAGAAATGTCCTTATCCGTCTCCCTCATGCTCCTCATTAAAGCTTATGGACAAGTTACAATAATAAATGAGCAGGATGTTCCTCACATTATGCTTTAATGACCAGTGAGAACATATTCCTTTGTTTCAAAGATAAGAGGGGGATTAAATATTCATTTCACTTAGTTCATACATAATGTGTCTGACTTTGTTGATGAAACAGTGTGAGCAAATTATTATAGAATAATAGAAACCACCAATCCCTTCTAAGTATTCACTGTAACTCCACAATAAATATAAAACACAAAATCTAACTTTGCTAATGGAACATCAAAATCTACATCTTCTAAATTGGTCAGATTTTATGAACAGGTATCTGTGTGTTGCACTCTCCTTATATGAAGCAGGCATGTCTGGAGTCATTGTTGTGCACTGTAACTGCATGATGCACAGTAGGAGACCTTGTGTTTAGAAGGAGAAACAAAACACACTAATATTGAGCAAAGACGCCTCATGAATTTAGAAGAATTTTCATTTATTGCTTTAAAAAGACAAGTCTTACAATAAATCCAGGATAAAAGCTCAAATATTGATGTTGGTAAAACACTAGAGTTTGGCTAATTTAAGGCTTGATAAGATGTTATGCATCGAACATTGATTTCAATTGAATTTCAACCTTTTGTCTCTTTTTAAAGATGTGACTAAAATCTTGGAGTAATATTCTTCCGAAAGTAATCCATCTGAGAAAACAGGTAAGAAGACAAAAAGGAAAATGCTTCATTCTCATTTTAATGAAGTCCCTACACTGACTTGTCAAAAAACAGATTTTATGGCTCTATTTATTGCACATTTATCTCAAACCAAATCATGTAGAGGTTTCATTGTTGTGATTGTTTTTGTTTTTTTGTAACCCAACACTTGATAACTTGTGTGTCTGCACAGAAATTTCACTAGATGGAGCCATTGTCCAAGATTCCTGTGACTGTCCCTCATCAGAAAAAGCTTTTTATTTAAAAATGAATGAGATTTGACAGGATTCAAGTAAAAAGTAAACACCTGGAACAGAGAGCAGAATTGGGACGGTTTCTATTTCAAATCAAAGGCTGTGGTGACAGATTTGCATTCATATCAATGGGAGTCAGTGGAACTTGTGTCACATGGTTCTTATGATGGTCATATGTTTGGGATTGTGCCAGCTCATCATGTCAATACACACTCATTCAGTTTAAGGACAAATCAGTATGTGATACTGATAGCCCTGTTACACCCCCCTCTGCTGTCCCCCCGCCCTCACAGATGGACGACTGCCATCTCTCACAAACAGAGTATTGCAGAGTGAACAGAAGCTGGCACATTATCTGACCTTTCCACTGTAGGAGGGGTCAACATAATTTATTTTATAAATAACAGGAGAATTTAATCTTTCAAAGACTTTATTTTTAAAGTAAGCCTGAGTTAACTCTCAAATTGGAAAAATGTGACTTTTTATGGCAGGCTTGAGAAAAGCTGTGCTAACAAAACATGAATGTAGATTTGTGATTGTTGACTGATATAGATCTGAACTCTCCTAATGGAAGTTAAAAATCTCCCTCTCTTTCTCTCTGGGAGCACTTAAGTAACTTATATCATATCTGGCGACAAAAAAGAATTCACACATTTGTTAATCAAATCCCGTTAAATTTTATTTTGTATACATACTGTAATACATTTCACATTAAACATCATAAAAATGACTCCGATTGTAAAAATTCACAGAGAAGGATGTTTGACTACTGACTGTGCTGTCACCTGAATACTTCACATGTACCATTAAAAGCTCACATTCTTAATGTGATGCAGGAAACAAAGCAGCCTTTACAAACACGTAGGAGTGAGCTACTAAAGAGCAAAAATAAAAATTTACACACATTTCAGCCTGTACAAAAATGAACTATGTACAAACAGTTTGATTTAATTCCTACAGTGTTTTTAAATGAACAAACAAAACAGCAGGTGTGTGTACAACAAAAGTGCTTGAGCAAGTCAACTTAGCTTTGCACAGCACAGTTTGTTTGCATGTTGCATGCCATTAAAATAAGTGAAGTTCACGTCATGCAGCTTTGATTATTGACAATATCTATAGTGCTATAATAAATTTGAAACTAACATGAAAATATTGCACAGGACGATTTTTTTCTCTGTAATATGTTTACTTAAATGTAATACTGTATTAAATGCTTATGTTCAAATTCTCTGACTTGGGCAAAATTAGAAAAATAGGCTCCTATGATCTGGGTAACTGTGTCTCTGTCAGAGAGGTATTTTAGTAATGCAGAAAAAAATCTGGTTCAGCAGCTTTCCTTCATCTTACATTCACGGCAGATCAATATCAAAATACTCTTCATAACCAACTCATTTTCTCCTTCACATTCTCACAAATCTCCATCTTCAAAGGTAAATAAAAACTTAAGTGTTAAAAAGAAAAAACTATCTCGTCACTGAGGGTCTTGTTTGCTTTAGTAGCTAATAAAGAGTCTGTCCAGTCTGTTTCATTACCACTAAAAAAACTCCTTACAGTAACTTTAAACAGAACATATCCTTTTATATGTCTCCTTTCCTTTGGTGTCAACAACTACCTACAATGATGATGAAAAGCTAGCAGCTTCACAGAAAAGAAGCCCTCAAGCCTGAAGTCAGAGCTTAAAAAGTTCTGCCTCCATGCTAAAGACTCTCAGGTGGAATAAAAGTTCTTCTGTTGAATCAAAGTCTGTAACATGTGCAAATGGTTTTAAAATTACAGTTATTACAGAATAATCAGGAGTTAGAGTTGAGGTAAAATTCAATACAGTTTAATATTCACCACACTTTCCCAGTCTGTTAATCACATCAAACTTTCTTTTAAAACCAGGTAGGTCCAATAAATAATCTGTTTGAATGGTTGAAATTCACATTCAATAAAACGTTTGTGGTTGAAAAAGTGTCTGAAACAGTTCTGCTTTGTATAAGAAGAGCCACAGCCTGACACACACTCACAAAAAAGCCATATTCTGCAGAGGGCGTATCACACTGCAGCTCAGAAGTGCAAACAGGGTGTGAGTGAAACTTGTGGTTTAGCATGTAAATCAAGTTAAGTCATTAAGTGCTAATATATGATCTTTTGGAGACACTCTGTTCTCAGGTAAAACATGTCGAATGAAACACTAATCAGATTTCCACAATTTCACAGGTAGGTTTCTGCTTGCTGACACACAACCTTTGCTGCAGAGACTTTTTATAGAACTTGCACTTTCTGAATCTAAATGCCATTTTCTAAATATCCGCTCTGTGCCTTTAACTGTGCCGTGTTTCATCTTTACAAAATACCATCAGGACCGTAGTTGTTCTCCAGGCAAACCCTTAACTTCAGGTTGTAGTGACTCAATGTGCTCCATTTCGGTATCTTTAATCCTGGTCAATTTAGCTCATCACTTTTCACCTAACACTAGAGAAAAAGAAGATTAAGCTCCCCTACACTAAAATTCCTTCATCTCTCCTCTTCTTCAAATAGCTGAGAATAACGTGAACTGGCTGGCTTCAGCATTGCCCCCCACAAAAGCAAAAGGTGTAAATAAAGATCAGCAGTACGGAGGGTTCAGAGGTTATAGTCATGATTCGAGCTGGTTAATATCAGAGTATTCAGGTAGATCAAAATGTACCCTATGACACTAACACAAGCACACATCCTCTTCTTCAGCACGGTGAGGAAGACATCTGCTCGTATTCTGGACACTTGAGGAGAGCCGGGTAGTTGGAGGAGTTCATCTGCAGGGAGGCCTCGGAGGAGATGGAGGAGGGACTGCGACCACGCCCGGCCCAGGCGTCTGGATGGAGGAACTGACCTGAGTAATCAGAGCAGTTGCTGAGGCGAGGCCTGTAGAAGCCTTGGTGAGGCCGGTACATTTCCTCTGCTGTGTATCGCTTCATGAACAGGTAGACCGACATGACACCTGCAGTCTGTGGGGTAACGGAGAGAAAAGACCCAAAGTTTAGCTCCTGGTTGTGTTCTTCTAATACATCCCGATTCCTACTTATTGGCCACTGATTGGCCAGGGGGGAGTCATGAGAGTGATTCCTTTACAAGAATCAAATCCGTCACAAAACCTGGCAATAGTGAGCGTGCGTTTGGGTTGTGTTTGTGTTGCATACAAATGACATCTGGGGAATTTCAAGCCGTCTTACTATGATGACTCCACCCACATTGAAGTGGTACTCAATTCTCATGGGAAACTATAAAAACCGAGTAGAGATAACATAAAATAAGACGAACTTTATTAATCCCTAAAAGAAAATTCAAGAGGCGAGTAGTGCTAAAATTATGTCATGGCAAAACGGCATACTTGACTTCTTTTCTGGTTGTTTAAATGAGAATTTTTATTCCAACTCACCAATAAGTTTGAAGGAGCGAAAACACTCAGAAAACAGTAAAACTGAGCAATTGTTTTAACACAGTGGGTAACTGAATTTAAATTGGTTGCTGACCTGGCTAAGGTAAGCAAAGCTAGCTCCACCAGCTCTAAGCCCGCTTTGCAAGTTAACGCCTATAAGTCTGTGCTGGTCATGTATTCCTCCCATCAGGTGGTCATATGCCAGCTTTACCAGACATGACCTTCATCTCAAATTACATTTTCTGGATCAGAATACTAATGAAACGCTGTGCTGTGGTATGACGTGCCATCTGTCAACAGCGCTTGTTTGCATCCTGGTAGTAGAGCATTCCAACACTGAAGCAGCCAATCGAACGACTCTGTTGCTAGATTTAGCGACTTTTCAGACCCCTCTAGCAACTTATTTTCGAAAAAGTGTCGAGCGACAAATTTAGCGACTTTTTCTGGAGTTTAGAAACTCCAACATAAATGCAGGAATATGGGTAGCTGGTGTGCATCAAGAACATGGAGACTCCTCCTTCTCCTTCTGGGGGTGGTGGGCTCGACGGCTACAGTGGGTTTGACGGAGAAATTATGCAAATTAGGCGCTGTCATCTAGCAACTTTATTAACTTTTACGACAACCGTGGGCGACTTTCCTTACTGAGGAGTTGGCAACACTGAAGCAGCAGCTTTACATTAAGGGTATAGCGTTGGCCAGTGGCAGCTGGCTGTGTCCCAGCTTAGGCACAACATGACAAGGCCAACAATAAAAGAAATATTACAGACTCCTTCAGCCTACAAGCAATACTGCTGCTGACTACAGTCATGGGGTTCAATGATTTCAACAAGAGGAAAACGGGAATCTGCTGTCTGAGAGCTGATTTTGTTCATTGCAATAGTTTTCTGTAGATCTATAGATTCTTTTAACCAGAATATAGTTGGTAATTCAAATGTGTTACTGGTTTGGACAACAGTTGAATCCTGACTTGTATGCATTTTTTCCTGTTCTTTAAATTTAATTACCATCATATTACCATCAGACTTTCACAGCAAAAACGTATGTCTAGATATCTGTGGATAACATCATCAGAAGACGACATGATTCAGACTTAATAAAAAGTTACCTCAGTGAGAAGGAAAGAGATGGCAGCAAAAGCAAAAGACCATCCATACTTGTAGCTGAAGTAGGCCTCGTTCGTTTTGGTTCTGTTCAACATTTCATCATTTATGTTGGAGATATACAACACCAGACCAACAACCAGTGAGAGACCTTGGGACAAAGGACAGAGACAAAAAGATAATAAGAGATTCAAATTATAAATTATTATATATAACATTTTCATAGATCAGCATCAGCCCATTCCCATTGAAGTGATTGAAACATTCATCAGGTGATCACACATTTTATGAGAATAAATAAAAGTATATGGTGCTCTTTCCTTAAACTTGACTGACACAGATCAAACTTAAACCAACCCTGTAACTCTTCAAAATAACTTACTTTTTAAAAATCATCTAAATGAAAAACACAGTGTAGTACCAGACAGGATGAAGAAGATTCCAGAAACAAAGGCCAGGATGGTGCGATGTGGTCGGATGTGTCCGATGTTACTGAGTACAAACCCGATGAACATGAAGAAGAGGCTGACCAAAGGAAAAGGTGTGGCAGAGCGAATCATCTCTGCAGGGGACAAAAAAACGGATCAGTTTGTTTGGTCTTGAGTTTGAACTTCGGTCTCTCACAATTGAAAAAGTGCTGAATGATCAGATGTTGTGACTATGTGGTTTTTTGTGCATTTTGTTCAACAGCCCTCTAAACCTAATGGCATTATTTCCCTCTGAAAGTAGGAGCACGTGCTTTTGTCTCCAGGGCAGGTCTCACTGGTTGTAAGTGGACCTGACGTCTAAGGCCATTCCTTTAACAGAACTGCATCAACTAAGTTGAGTTTGTTAAACTTGCCTATTAGTGTGTCGAATGTCTGAATGTTACTGGAAACTCCTATTAGCATGAGGGATTCAGTGAGGCCCAGAGACTCTAAAACAAGGGTTAATTGAGGAAAAGCTTCACTTTTGAATATATCATAAGAAAAATCCAATTAAAGATGCAGCTGTGGCATTACTAAGTTATGAATTAAATTCTCCTTTACATGTCAATGGTTGAAGAAACTCTTCTATGTTCAAACCTGTGTGTTTGGACAGATCTTTTTTCAGTTCCCCTCTCTTCTTTCATTCATTCTGTACTTAAAAGACACCCATATTTTACATCACTGGATGGTTTTTTTAAAGGAATAATTATTTTCACATTATTATTATTGCATTTTCCTAATCCTGGGTGCCAGTTTCATTGAGTTGGGTTGACGTCCTGTGTTTCAGAGGCTACAATCCTTGTTGTCTAGCTTGAATGATGGGCTTCAGGTGCAGGCAGGATTTGGTGCACCCCTCCCATATTTCCTGTCTGTCTCAAGCTGTCCTGTCCACTAAAGACAAAAGCCTCCAAAAACCATCTAAACAAATGAAAAGAAAATCCCTTGACCTTGTTTATTTTTTTGAGTGAGTACCTCAGATGTGTTCGGACAACGTTCATCGAGGGTGATACATCACTTTTTACGTCTGCATAGCCATTAGTTTGCCTTTCTGTGAATTCTTTGATATGGATGACCTTTCTTTGACATTAGCTTGAACACACAGGGGATTTGAGATGAAGTGGTTTTCTTGATAGCATCACTCGCTGTAGTCTTGGCTTCTTGCCCTCACACCACCATTACTTATGTGTACCCATGCGTGCTCATCCTAGAACCCTTTAGAATACAGCATGGTGCAGATGTAAGTAGAAGAGACTTAGGACTTAAACAAGTAAAGTCATTGCAGCTCATGTCTGCAGCTCCGGACAGACACACAAGTGCAACCACATGTGTAATCAGACAGTTTCTTCACCTTCCAGCCATGAGATTAACCAAGAGGTCAGAATATAGGTAGACCACCCCTGTTTATGGGATATCCAAATGGGAACTGCTAACATGTAATAGTATTAGAGTTAAATCAATGTTAAATCCTACTGTAAAAGTTAGCAATGATTAGAGAATCCTTAGCTTTTGGAGCCAGCCTCGAGTGGACACTTGAGGTACTGCAGGTTTGGCTGACTTTGGTGCTTTTTAATGACTTTGGTATTAATTATTTGCCCATTAAGTCAGTGGAGAGTGAACAGCAACTTACTGAGAACGCTGACGGTGGATTCAGAGGTGATCTGGATGGTAGTGGGCATGACGTACTCTATAGTGAAACATCGACCTTTCTCCTCTCCTAGAGAAGACCACAAAGAAACAAATGTGTCAGTCAGCAATTCTTTTTATACCAGTTCAATAGAAAAATAAATCTTTTATATAGTTTAGTTTTAAGTGGACAAATGAATTAGGTATTCTGATTCTGATTTAGATTTCCTGGTATGGGTTAACTTTCTGTGATAGTTGGCATTCAGTTTAAACCTACTTTTGACAGTGAAGCATCTGGATGCTGCTCTCAAACATCCCCACAGGAAGCTGTACGTTGACATAGACTCTACAGTTTTTTTTCATACCATATAATTGCACACTGTCAGCGTTTCTATGAGAAACAACCCTCTTTAGATTTTAGCACCTTCCCTTTTCCCACTTTGACACATGCAGAACTAAGTCTGGCAGCCGCACACACTGCTGCCTCACACACTCCTGATGATAAAGCTGATTGCTCTATCAACACTTTATTTACCTCACACGTCAAAAGGTGTCCTAACAGGCGATATTTCCTGCTTTATCATGGGAACTTACTTAGCTTAGCTCATGACTAATGATGGACTGATTACAGAGTAAACAAATAACGTGTACAACATACCTTAACTATTCTATACTACAAAGATTTGAGAGGGTTTTCCAACTTATTTCACATCTTATCAAGGAAACGTACCGATAAGATTTCAGCTAATTTGCATTTTATAACCCATTCTATATCAGAGCAGCTGATCCACACTGATACAGTTTTTGCCACATAGCTACCATGTATGTAATGACATTGTGTGTGGTTAACCAGTAAAGATAAAATAAAATAAAAAACTTCCAGTCTGTAACTGTTGGATTTCTGCATGTATGACAACTGTAGATGAATAAGGAATAACAGGATAAAAATAGAACATGTAGGTGTGCATTATGGAGACATAAAGGCTAAAAGCAGGCCATCAAGATGCTGTCATTTGTACATCCCTCACTTTCTTAATTTAGTCGGTTCTTGATTAAATGCCACTGGAACTTATTCATTATACCACATACAGATATTATGTAGTATCTGTGAAGTCTTTTGCAGTTATCCTTTTCATTTCTGCTCATAATTATCTTTATTTATTTCAAAATCTATGGCCCCCACATTTCATTGCACTAAAGCAGTGGTTCTCAAGTCCAGTCCTCAAGCCCCCCCCTGTCCTGCATGTTTTGGATGTTTCCCTGCTCCAACACACCTGATTCAAATGATCAGCTCGTTATTAAGCCATTACAGATCTTGATAACGAGCTGATCATTTGAATCAGGTGTGTTGGAGCAGGGAAACATCCAAAACATGCAGGACAGTGGGCCTCCAGGACTGGACTTGAGAACCACTGCACTAAACTGTGTAATTCCAGACTTGCAAAAACATCTATGGAGATAAAGAGATACACAAAAGATTTGATACACATACAGATTAAATTTAATACAAACTGCTTTCATGTTCCATAATTAAACCACAAATACAATTTTGTTTATTAGTCTTTTTATTCTAAATAAAAGAGAAAATGTTGCGTAGGAAAGAAAAGGCTCATTCAGTTCATTTCCTCAACACCATTGCTAGTTATACTGTGTAACATCCATACCAAGCATGACTTACAACCCGCACACCAACAGACGATAATTGCTGGCTGGAAGTGTCAAGTTCCTTTACATGAGCTTTGGCTAACAGCCAAACACCCGATGAAGTGAAACCAACATCAATACCGGTCAAAACAACATGAAACCTCGTTCATGTAATCTGTTGTAACCACATAATTTGACTGTGTAATTGTTTCTGGGTCAAACCAGAGCTGTTAAGTGGGCAATAAGGCCACTCAATCACCCCTAAAACACACTGGATCACTAATCCATTTATACTGTAGCAATGGGGTGCTCCATGCTGGGTAACATCTGTTACCTAATCACAACTGCACTGCCTGCTTGTGTGCTGTGACTGAACGATTAACCCTGACAGGACGGGGCAGGTCAGCTGTGACACAGAAGGTTAATGGAACAAATCAACAGTAAAAGGAATAACATTACATAATTGGATTTAAACAATCCCATCAGACAATGTTATTTTTTTTTTTTTACAACATCCTCAAACATGTCAAAGGATAAACCTCCATATTGATACAGCTGACATTTCCAAGCATTCAGTCTTTTTTTGACCTTTGCATACAAATATTTGAAAATTTCTCGAGATTCACTAAGAATCTTGAAAATGGGTAATATTGTTTGCTTTCCTTTGTGGCAAGCTCGATGAATCTTAAATAGGTACCATTAAGTTTTGCCATATTGCTTTTGCTGGACTATAATAAGTATTTCCTCTCACAAGGATCAAGTGACTCACTTCTCAGTTGTTTAAATTGCTTCGTCTCTAACTAGATTACTGTTTAAATAAATGGAAGTCCTCTCTGAAAAGATCAATCTAGTTTATCTTGCTCCAAGTGCTGAGGGATAAAAATCCATAATTATTAGTTTCAGACTTCAAACTAACTCACCAGCCAAGAAGCAAACCCTCCACAGTCCAGAGTGGAGGGACATGCGTATCTCTGTGCTCTGGTTGAGGGGAAGGATGACACCTTCCTCCAGGTAGAGCCAGTAGTCTGTGCTTACAGCGATCCCCAACAGGCCCAGGCCGCAGACAGCGAACACGCTGCTCAGCAACGTCAGCGCCTTCCTGCCACATAAGCTCATACCACAGCTTCAACAGCAGGGGGGGCGCCACCGGCAGAAAGAAGAGCTGGGAGAATGAGAGAAAGAGAAATATCATCACCAAATTCATCAAATTTAAGAGGATCAGTTATCGCGAAATATTTCCTGAGAAAATTTCTGTGTCCCTTTGGTCAGAGAAGGAAAACAACTAACAAAAATACAAGTGATACAAAAAAAACAGCAAAATGCCTTTTTTTTTTTCAGGACACCCCTGCTCTTCTTACTCTCTGACAATCCTTGAACCACATGCCGTTTGGATACACGTAAAACCAGTACTCCAGGTTATTAGCATATGTCTAAAAGACATACTTCTTAATTGTGAGTCGGTCCCCATCTTAATGTGAGCAAAATGACAATTTTGGGCAATTATTATGAATTTATACCACTACACAATCAACAAGACCACAGCTCCTGTTTAAACTGTATATTTGGTAGCCTATTTACTACAGTAAGACAGCAGCTAATGTTAGCTGCTCTTTAACAAGTTAGTGGCTGAAAGATTACATTACTTTTTGGTGGTGTTATTTGAAAACTGTCTAAATTTCCTATCACAGTTATTTTAAATAACGGTAGACTACTTGGTCCTTTTAGCCAGCTTGTGTTTGAGCGTCTACATAAACCGTTGTGTAAGGTTAGTTTAGACAACAGATTATAGGCTCTATTGTTTTACTTAGAAATTTAGCCCAATGATCCACCAGATTTACAGTTTTTTTTTACAGATGTGGTGAAAGTGGTTAGGAGACAACCATTTTCCAAATCCAACATAGTACCACTTCAAATGAAGCGTGTAAATTAACCTGTTTTTCAGATTTAACTTCAGCCTGAATCACGGTAGCTTACCAATGTACCGCCTTTTGAGCCTCACACTACAGGCTTCATCAACTGACTGACTTATTAACCACTTTAACAACTAGTCAGTTCTGTAGGCAGCAGTTGAATTGATGTAGACGACATGGTGGATACTGCCTGGGGAGGAGGCAGATTTATTATAGATTAATATAAAGAGCCAAACATGGGCAAAAGCTGCCAAAGTAGGCAGCTGCGTGATCACAGACATCTCGGTACTACTTAGTAGCAGCGCACACCCCCATAATAACCCCCCGTTAAAACTGATGTTCAGGACTGTGCGCAACATGCTTACTCATGCTCCCTACCGCAATAACCCTTGTTCTAATCTACACGCAACATTTTTGCTCTCATTCATGAAACGCTTAAATCGGGGACATTTCCGGGGACAGATTTAGCCGGGGACAGGTCATCCAATATGGGGACTGTCCCTGTCTGGTCACCTTATCTTACATGGGTTTACATCTGATGTCAACTTTTGGGACGCTACATTTTAGTGAAGAAAAGTGATTATTTTGTGCTCGCTGTGTGTGTGTGACTGAATCCTTCTTTCTGCATCTTTCTTCACAACCTCTATAAACTACTAACTTAAAAAAAAAGTGAACTTATAGAAAATGGTAGTAATTTGAAAAGCGGTCTCTAAGTAAATGTGGTGAATTGTTCATGCTGCTCCTTGAAAGACTGACAAATGAATATTGTAATGAACCCTGAAACGATAATCTAGCAGCAAACACTATCAGTGAAGTGAGGAACAATTAGCTGATTAGAAGTCCAGGGAAGATCCTCTCTACCCTGAGTGTCTCATAAGAATATGAATCACCACATTGTGTAAGGCCAAAGGCTGAGTCCAGTAAATCTGAGAAAAAGTTATGTAATTTTCCACTGATGGCCCCAATCCTGCTTCTAAACTGAAAAAAGAAAAGAAAACCTGTTATAGAATTGGTTCAGCTTTTCTTCAGTAACAGTATATCAATTAAAATTCTTTCTGTAGGATATGTAGCCTATCCACTCCTGTACAGTAGTATAAAAAAGCTCTGTAGAAATGCAGATGGTGTGCAGTATGTGTCAGCATATGAATGTTCTGTGTTCCTTACACAAATAATGGATCCGCTCATATGGTAGCTGATGCCCACATTTGCCGGAAGCCGCAGCGATGGGGAGCTTGGCATGGGAAATGTGTTGAAAGGAATTGATTTTACATAATGAGTTCTCAGTGGGTTGGCGCATTGAGCACCCACTGTGGGACTGGAAAGAGTGAGTGAATGTGTGATTATGGGACTTTGAGCTTTTGCTAAGATTCATAGCAGTCATTTCCTAATGTGGATCTACTCCTTCTATCACAACCGGGTGCCAAGCCTCAGTAGAGTAGAGTTGAGATTTACACACATCTGCCGCCTGAAGTGTCATAATAGACAGGGGTTCGATGGCTACAAATGACAAAGCACACAGAAAGCTTAGAGATCTATCCATGGCTTGTCTACACAATAATAGTTGAGTTAACTTTTTCATTTAGCTCTTTTAAAAACAAAGATCAAAGTGCTTTAAACACCAAAAGATTGAACAACAATACACAATAGTATTATGTTAAAATAAAATAGTAAAATCTGTCAGGATCATAATAATCTCATCTCAAAAAGAAGAGGGAGGTCATTATTAATGATTTAAAACATTTAAGAGTGAGGGCTGAGCTTATTTGAAAGGGTAGGGGAGAGCTACTGGAAAAGGTCTGATCAGTCCTGGTTTGACCTCAGTCTTCTTCTCATTAAGGCTGAGAATGTTTCTGGACTAACATAATTTAATGTCTTTTAGACAAATAAATAAGGGCTGCAGTGAACCCTCACTGTTACATTTTCAAAGGCAGGTATATTAGCACATTGTTTTGAAAAGTAGACCAGAGTGGGAGCATGCATAGAGAAAATCAGACACTAGAAGTACTCCACAATTAAGACAGGCTGTTTCTCGTATAGATGGACAAGCGCTTATCTGCCAGGTAGGATTAAACCCACCTGAGTGCTGCACCCTTTAGTCTAATACAAGTTTTTGACATAAGAAGACTGGGAAGTTGACAGTGTCAAAAGCTACCATGATGGTGGAGTCTCCACAATTAACAGCTAAAACTAGATAATCAAAAACTTTTAAAAATGCAGTGTCAGGGCTGCACAGAAGCATGTTGACACAACCAGAAATGAGACAGGTATTTATCAGTGCAGGAATGCATGATCCAACAGTGTCAAAAACGTCCTTAGCTTTATCACTAAGTTTAAAATTTAACAGACGATAGCAAGGGGTATCACTTTCAAAACATCTGCCATCAGAGGTTAATCACTTTAGTTAGCTTTTGCAAAAAGCTCTTATCTCCAGTTCTCTTTATCACCAGAAGTTCCACCCAGGGCTCGACAGTGCAACCATTTCACTCGCATTGCAACTAAAAATAGATGCGTGCAAACTGTAAAATGTATTTAGGGGCATATGTGGGCATAAAAAATTAGCTGAGGCAACAAATGTGTTTTCATGTAAATACCATGGTGATGTAAGTTTTAGGTCAGATATTCGACGGACATTTACTGCAGATCTATCGCTGTCTTCTCACTCTCCACAACTGGGAATAGCAACAGCAGCACAGTTGAATCTACTCTGCATCCTCACTGTCAACGTCTGGTGCTGAATAAGGGACTATCAATAAATTACTGGTTGATGTTCCCAGAAAAGGCTGTTTTACTTCAATAGCTTCCATGTCATGTGACCAATTGACCTAAAATTGATTTCAAATAATAGTACTTACAATATGTCGACCAATAAGACAAACATTATTTGATCAATTTTCATTGTGCCCCTAAAGTTATTTGTGTGCTCCTTACTTCTTCAACTTTGGAGCGCATGTGCTCCTTTTGAAAAAAGTTAGTGTCAAGCCCTGGTTCCAACCATAATCATGTTTAAGATTGCGCCTCTCCAGAATATATGGATAAAGTTTGTCAGTATTACAGTCTGAGACTTGTATCATTTTTAACAACAGCCACACAACAAAAGAACTGCCAAAAGAGGTGCTGTAATCATCTTTTTTTATGTATGCTGAGGTTTCTTTTCTCTCCATCTTGTGACTACTCGAATCACCATGGACATGATTGTGATTGGGAGCAGTTGGCATGCATGCATAAGCAATCAGAGTTCACTAAAGCAAGAAGGGACAGCAATAATGAAAAGGACTTTCATTAACCGTCATCTATTCTTAACCAAGCTGCAGTCTGGGGTCAGTGGATGATGGCCATGTAAGAGCTCTATTTTTAGTCGTTGTTATGAAGCTACAACAAGCAGGCAAGATTCAGGCTTTCCATTCATAGCTTTGTTTGTGTTACTGCCCTCTATCAGAAGGCTGGTATTAGTTTGACTGCACAAGAAGCAATAATACAATGTTGTTACATCCTCTTGAGCCAGAAATACTGGGGGTATTCACGCTGACAACCCTTGAAAAATATGCAATAGAAAATAGCAACACTAAATTATGCATCCAATTCGTTTTTTGAAGCTGATAATCAAGTTGTTGTGGTTGAAAGACAAGAGTTTTGACAATGCTCCTATACGATGCACCTGCCATAATATCAAGATGAATACTGAAAGAAAGTTTAGATGTCACAAAGTGAAAAAGATGTTTTCTTAATAGTCAAAGCAAGAGGTGATCCAGGAATTTGGCAGGAAAAGAAGTCTGCTTTTGCTTAATCCTTAAAGCTGCTTATTTATCGAGTAACAATGGAAAACAAATTTGAGAAAAAACAGAATTATTCCACTCTGGATGAAAGAAAGTGCCACTTGACATGAACATGTTGTCAGCGTGATTTCCTGTGCGCCTGCCAGCAACAGTGAATCTCATAAACTCTCACTGCATGTATTAGGTTGAGTAAAGAGTAGCAATGGCAGGATGAGTCCAATTACAGACCAAATCAAGCAGCTCAAGTGGGTTTACATCTATTATGGCCTGTTAAAATTAAGCTAAATAGATTTCAAACTCTATTTGTGTGCTCTTTCCTTGTAGTCTTAGTGCAAATCCAAGTTCTGTGGAGAAAGAAATGAATAATTATTAATGAAAACTTGTGACCCTTATTTCCCTCAAACAGAAACAGGAACTTTTTATCCTTTTAAAAAAAAATCAATATAGTTATTTATCAGTAAGAAAAACTCAAGTGTGATTGGAGTCAAAGAATACAAGATGTTGAATCATTTTTGAAAGGATTTGCAGGAGAGAAATACTTTCACAACTGTTAATGTGGTTCTGCAAAAATAAAGGGAAAAACAAACAAACAAACAAACAAAACAGCAACACAATGGGTCCAGAGGCTGTGCGGTCATCTAATGAGGCAGATGCAAACCTCAGCTAGAGTAAAGGGCACATCACCATGAAAAGTAGGACATTCCTCCAGTGTTTACTCTAACATGCAACTCCTGACAAACTTGATTTAAAAAAGCTCTCCACCACAAGCAACAATTAAAAAAAAACTTACAAATTCAATAAAAATACAAAAATCTACATCAGAAGTTCTTTCTCAATCTGTTGTAGGGTAATAAGAAAATAGATGTTAGTGCTTTGGTCTGAACTGAAATGCTTTGAAAACTTGTTAGTGCCCTTGTTGATCAAAATTAATTTCCTTATCTTGTTATTTATCCCTTATTTTTGCTGCTTTCTTATGCAATATGAGTAATGTACAGTTTACCATGTTAACAGTCTCCGCTGTATTCTCTGTTTGGATTGGGCTTTTTATTGGTTTTGATATTGGATTATTACTTTATTTTATGTACTGGTAATATCAGGGATGCCTTCAAGTACATGCAGCTCTTAAGCTAAAGACAAATTTCCCAAGGGGAATGATAAATTGTATTAAATTCATGAAATAATGACCTGTTGAAACTCCTCTAGAGAGCTCTAGAGAGAAATAAACACTGAAGTTACACAACTTTGTGCATCTGACAGATCGCTGGACTTCATGAGAACTTAAATGATTGTCTGTTTTATCCAGGTCTTCAATAGTCTTTTTTGGTTCAAATATCATGATAAATATTGTACTGTGGACTTATTTTATTATTATCATATTATGATATTTTTATCATTATTTGTAGAAAATCTTGATAAAGACCAAAAGAATATTTGGATTATTGGATGATCAACAGCTGCAATTTTATTATGATTTTTACCCTCCGGTGTTAACCTAGAAATACAGTATAAAAAATCTAAATAATTGTCTATTAAAAACTAATTAAAGTTAGTTTTGTAGATCAGAATAATTGATTTTCTGCTTTAAACATATTACATTATATATAAAGTGCACAGATTGATGGTTCACTGAAAAACAGCCACACTAAAGATTCTCAACTAAATTTCAAAATCTCTCTTTCACAAATGAAAACTAATCTCAAACATTAAAATTATACAACAAAATGATGGAGGGTTCTTTTTAACTGCAAAGTGAAGTCTCTGATATCCTAACCTGGATTTGAGTTTTGTTCACCTCTGAAGGTTTGTCAACTTCAGTGCATGTCTGTCTTTTGGCAAACTTACTGACCCAGCTACTGCGTCTGTATGAGTGTGTCTGTGAGTGCACTCAATGTGGACATGGGACTAACACTAAGAGACTCTGTTGATGTTGCAAGAGCTGGCTGGAGGAGCCTGAGGACAGCATCAGTCCAGCGGACAAGAGAGGAGACATGTCATCAAGCCATGGACACAGCTGGATGACGCTGGCTGCCCCACCGTCAGTCTGCTGAGATCTGCCTGATCGGTTTAAACAGAGGTACTGAGGGAAAAACTCGACACACATGGACACAGTAGAGACGTAGACAGCATACAGTATACTCTCACTGCATGTCACAGTACTATTATTAATCACCTAAATAACCTGCTCTTGATGCTCATTTTACTTCCTTACAAAACAGGTGCATTTACTTTGAAAGAACAGTTACGGTGGCATAATTTGTAGCATGTAGACTAAGCTATAAAAGCGAAGGTGAGAAATTGCATCTTAAATTTTTGTCACAGTTTTTACCAGAAATGATGGAAGTGGAGGCAGTGATCATGGAAAAAGAGCACTGACAAACTTTTATTATCATTATTTTTGATCCCAAAATTTAGGATATTCTTCTCTAGTAGTAGTGTATAAGACATACCTATACCTTTAAACCATGCTTGTCTTATATTTGGATCCCATCAGCTCAATTGATTCCTATGAGTATTAGAGCCATATTAAGATAAAAAAAAGTGATTACTTACTGGAATAAAGTCTTAATAAAGTAATTACTTACCTAATTTAAGTCGTAATGAAGTCATTACTTACAAACACAAAGTCGTAATAAAGTAATTACTTACGAGAATAAAGTCGTAATAAAGTGATTACTTACGGGAATAAAGTCGTAATAGTAAGTACTTACAAGAATTAAGTCGTAATAAAGTAAGTACTTACAAGAACAAAGTCATAATAAAGTAATTACTAACCTAATTTAAGTCTTATTAAAGTAATTACTTACAAGAATGAAGTCGTAATAAAGTAATTACTTACGAGAATAAAGTCGAAATAAAGTAACTACTTACAAGAACAAAGTCATTTTTAAATCCTTACGAGATTAAAGTTAGGATAAAGTCCTTATATTCTAACCTGTTGTTTACGATGACAGTTGTTGAAATGGGAGCCATTTCGTGAAAATATACTTCAATATGGGTTTCTCAAACAAGGAGATACTTAATCTTTTGGCACATCAGCACCACATTATCATAAAGTATCATAATGATTTAATTACGAGTTTATTCTTGTAAGTAATAACTATATGACTTCATTCTTTTGAGTAAGTAATGATTTTATTACAAGTTTAGTCTCGTATTTACTTTAAGACTATTCTTGTAAGTAATTACTTCATTACGACTTTATTCTCGTAAATAATGCTTTTGTTACGACTTTATTCTTGTGAGTAATTACTTCATTACGACTTTATTCTTGTAAATTAACGACTTTGATCTCAAAGTCTTCTTTTTCTTTTTCTTAATGTGGCCCTCATACTCTGTCGTAGATTCCTTCCTGGTCTAATATAAGAAGACACACAGTTGTTCAAGCCAAATCCTTACTGTAGGTAATGCCATTTACTGAAACATCATCAAGAAAATAGCAAAGGTAAAATCGCGGGGATCAAAGTCCCAGAATGTAGAATACAAAATAAATCAACTGGAAAGTTGATATTGTCACACATATAAATACTATCTGACCTTTAATGTAGGAGGTGTTCTTTTCAGTCACCCTTAAGACCTTCAAGCAGCTTGCATCAAAAAGCAGAACATCTCTTTTCTGTCATGTCAGATCATCTTAATTGGATGGGGCAGCTCTGGAGAAAGCCTGAGTCTTTCATGCAGCTCCAAAGGCAGTTCCCTTGCGTCTTTAAGCAAATGGCTTTGGCTCCCAGCTGTCATTCCCTGTGACTTCCTTCGTTCCATATCATCATGAAAGTGTACCCAGAGCTTGTCACTCAGCTTGGCCTCTCAGCAAAATATCTTCTGGTGATTTACCAAAACTTTGCAACACTGATCCTGAACTTTTTCATTTCACAGGGACGTGTTTTCAAAAAAAGATGAAAGACTGCTCTGTTTAATCAAATAAAATTGGAGTAAATGGCACAGATGTGGTCTCTAAAAGGTTTCAGACTCTGAGTGCTATTACAACCCACAGCAACAGCACTTACATCCATTTTCTGTTTGTTGTAGGGACAAGCATCCCCCTTAAGAGTGCTTAACATAGTCTGATCGCCTGGCAACAGGATACATACAGCCTCTTGAGTTAGTGAAGCATGAATGAACTGATGAGCCGGTCCCAAATAAAGACTATTTGGTCATGTACTTCTCATAATACGCTATTTCAAGGCAAAGATGGATGAAAGGATGATTAACTAATGCATACATTTGTTGTCTGGTCAACTATTACGTGTCAAACAACTTGGCTGTGGTCATTTAGGAACTCTCTGTTTACATTTTTAATTGAAATGATGTTTGAAGATTAAAAAGCTGCTGTGGAAAACTTTAAGTTGACTGTGTCACCTCCTGTGGACAAGGTTAAATGTCTTATGTAGTTGCTGTTTTGGGCCCATAATTGTGTACAGTGAAAACACAACATGGTGACTTTCAGAAAATGCTCTTCTTGTCAGTTTGCTTGTTATTGGTTCACATGAAACTTTCCCAGAAGTGGAAGCAGGAACAAGCATCAAGATTAACTTAGTAGAGGTGGTAGGGTCCTGTTTTAGTCTGATGGGGTTCCTCTGCTATAAACACCCTCTCATTGTACATTTTACTGAGATTTTGCAAAACTAAAGCCTGATTTCAAAGATTCCTCATCAGGGACAAGTCGTCTTATAAGATCAGTACACTGTTTCTCAAAGACAAGACTTGTATTTGTCATTTTTAACTGCAGTTATGGCATTACTCTGATGTACTGGAAGTGCTGTATAAAAATGAGTCCAGTACAGCTAAAAAAGTGTCGCCAAAACTGCCAAAGGAGACAAGGGTACATTTTCTGGCTAGATGCTACATGCTAATTAAGATGCTCTGACATGCACCGATGTCGTAAAAGAATACAGATAAACAATAAGCTTTCTGACCAGGTGAACAGTAAACTTCTCGATGTCTTTTATCAGCAAACATGTTATTGTTGATACTTTCACAGCATCGACATAGTGTTCAAATTCCATATTTTCTTGTTCTGCTGAACCCAATCAATGTTTAGTCACGCCTATTGAGCCAAGTGTCTCAATACTGTGACACTAGGGCTCAGATATAAAGTAGATATCCAGGACACAAAATACTATTCATAAGACTAAGTACTTTATAGTGGTCATACACTGCAAGACAGCGAAGGCAGAAAATGAAATAGGGTAAATCCACATGATCCCAAAACTCCAAGACTACACAAGGAAACAAGGCTGGAGAGCATGAACACACAAGGGGTAATGACCCCTGGCAGAGAATGGGTGGAACCACTAGGGTATACAGGTCGGACTATATACTAAGAAGACTCAGCGGTGTGGATGAAAAAGGTGGTGAATACAACAACAACAGCGGGGAGTAACACTAGTAACACTAGGATTACAAAATAAAACCAGAAATAAACAACGAATCACAACTATAGACTTGGCCTTACATTGCAGTCACACCTGTACATGATACTGCTTGCATGTTGAAAACAGTTAATCACTCTCAGTTTAAGCTTGAGCTGCATCTCTGGCAGCAGATAACCCCACAGCCTTCCTGAAATAAGTTACAGGAGCTGTTATTACTCAAAACATTTCCACTGATATTAAAGTAAAACAAGGTGAACAGGACTGCCTGAATCTGCTCAGAACCTGATGAGCTGTTTTACTTTGTCACAACAAACTGTTATTTTTTTTACTGTAAGGAAACTGACATCAAATGTACCTGACTTCTCTCTGCGCATTGATAGGATTACCATTTCTACTAAAGAGAAGTATCCTTGGCAACAGGGATCATAAAAAAGGACATGTGACAAACAAGGGATAAAGGGGAGCTAGGGAGTAAGATTTGCCGAACGAAATCCAGGATGATGATGAAAAACTCCAACAAAATGCAGGTACACATAAAAAACACTGGCTTTGTGATCCGAGGCCACATTGGAATTAATTACATGCTACAGCTGTAGTTTTTCGGGATAGTATAGAAACAAATGTGCAAACTGTGAACAGTGGTGTTACCATGTAAAAACAAAAGTGTTGTTGGGAGGACAGCTGGTGGAAGCTTGCATGATTTTAATGAAAGAAAACATAGACAGGACTTCAAAGCCTTTGCTGACATAGTGTGAGGGTCTTTCAGCCTTTACAACTGGACCATTATAACCATTCTGCAATGCTGCCCAGGGTTTTTGCACAACACAGATGAAAAGAATGAAATTCACTGACTACCAGATGTAAAAAATTAGAGATGCATATGTATGTGTTTAACTTTTTACAACACAGATAAATTCTGCATTAAAGCTTTAAAAAATTAATGATGGCAACAGTCAAACCCATGTTGAACAAACCAGAAGAGCCTGGGTCGACTGACTTTGATACACAGGAGGAGGTCCAAACCACAAAATAACACTCATATAACATTTGTAACCGAAAACCAGCGTCTATCTCACTCCAACAAGTAGCAGACTGCCAGCTAGATACCAGCCTGTTATTTACAATAACTAAGTATTTTTTAAGATGGTTTAAAAAACAAATATCAACTATTTACAAAGTGCTACTGACACACATTTTAATCTAGATGATTTACAACCAATATTTAAACCCTATATAAACTTTGAATAAATAGTCCATTAATAACTAATGAAAATTATTAAACATAATTTCATTGCTTGTTAATGGTAAAGTAACTATTAACTTACATTAATAAACTTGCCATTCATAATTGGTCTTTTGCTGTCTATGCTGTTTTTAAATGATGATTAAACATTAATAAACTATCTATTTACCATTTATAAATTATGGTTATTGTAAAGTGTTACCCGGTGATGATAGAAAAATAAACTCTTACCCAGCCTAAAGCCCTGTCTGAACACACATTGCTATCATGTTGTTTTGATGACCCACTGAGGAGTGGATGTTGGCCAAATGAGTGGGCTATGTGTGCAGACAACATAAACCAGAATACTTAGAGTGGTTAACAGAAATATAAAGAAATCTAATCCCAATTAATTTCTTTCACTTGCAGATGAATTATGTATTTTAGAAATGAAAATAAAAATCTAATAACTCATGGTTGCTCTGATGATAACAAAGTATGCTATCTGCTTCTAAATACAACATTAATTGCAGGTCAGTAAATCCAGGTTTCACCTCATTTACCTCTTATAAAATCGTATCAGGTCAGTGCATAAACATGGCCACTGGGTCTTTTGGGTCTGTTTGTTTTCTCCATCGGTAATCAGAGCCAGCTGTTTTGTTACGTCTGTCCCGTGGACAGAACAGGAGCGCGCGCTTGTTTCTCTGTCCACGGTGCTGAAGTAGTCACACACATTCCCACGCTCAACACCGAGTCGATAATAAACGTAGTAGCCTACACGGAGCTGTTCATTCTGTGCGCAGGAACAGAGGCTCGAGTATTTAAGGTTGCTTGCCACTAACTCAAGCTGTTCCCCCATATTAATGAATGTTTGTTTGGTGGCATTAAGTAAGTTACTTGCGTGTGCACATACAGCCCCAATTTCTTGTTTATTTTCTGTTAACAATTTTTGTGTTTTCCACTTTCTTCGTATCAATCATATTTCGACGCTGTTTTGAACCTTTCACTAAACAAGTCCAGTCTAGTATCCAGTACTTCTCAACGTCGTTTGCAAAGGCGAGATAATACATGATGAAGCCCACTAGAGCAGTCACTGATCCTGGACTTTAAGGGTCCTACTTCCAACAAAGGAGGGTCGCATATACGCTACTTTTTACCAAGTGTGAGAGGAAAACAAAGACTACTTAGCTGGTGCTTCCAACCTGAAAACAAGCCTCAGCAACGAAAGCATTCACATATGTCAGTAGGCTACAAGAGCGCGTTTCTCTGCTCAAAATAAAAAGACCAAACTCTATCTGTTCATCGAACAACACGAGATAAAATCATTCGTTACCTTCTCGAGGAAAGCCCAGTGAAGGAGAGAGAAGCAGTTTTCTTTCCTCTCCTCTTCTACTTCCTCGTGTTTCTCTCCTTCGCTCGGTCCGTGTTGCCTTTAGTTTGGCGCGCGACGGTAAGCCTGTGTGGCAAAAGGAACCCGCGGCTGTGGACCTCGCGCACCACTACTATCCAAGCCAGTGGGCTAGTAAGAGCGTGGCGTGTGGCACGTGGCGCCAAACTCCGCTCTCCGCCTCTTTTCGAGTTAAATGGGATTCAGCCTGTATGTGATAGGATAACAGGAGGGAGATAACATAGTTTAAACCGAGGGTGATGACTTTGTAGGTTTTTGTGCTGAAAATTAAAATAGGCTCGTGGACCATTTTGAGCTTTGGTAAACTTACCGCCACAATTAACACCTTATGGGTAGAATGTGTGTGTTTTGCGGCTTGTTTGAAACGCTTTGAATTGTGTAAATAAATAAAAAATGACGGCATTGTCTTAAAGCTACTATGAGGGGGTTTTTGAGAGTTTTCCAAATTGACTGAAATTCATACAGATACACTTTAAGACATCAAAACGTAAATAAGACCATCATCGACAAGATTAATGATATATTTCTTCATTGTAAATGACTGACAGGGTGCAAGGTGAGTCGGTTTTAGCTGAGCAGCTGTAATGGACTGGCCTGAGGTCTCCCTACAAACTAGCGGCCGCTGGAAGAGAGAAGATGAGTTGTGTTTAGTCTCTTTGCTAAAGAAGAAGCTTTTTAGTTAAGATTTGTTTATGGCTCCTCAGACCGCTGTGTATTGCTATCCTGCGGTTGTTACTAAAGTTGGTGTAACTAGAGAAGCAAGCGGTCAGCAACATTCATCTCTCAAGGGGGTGTCTCACTTTCCACTTGGTGTTATAGTGTGTTTGACCCTAAATTAATTTTACGCCAGAATATCCCTTTAAGTTAGACATTTGTAATAAATAAATACATACATAACCACATTCAAAGCAAACAATATAATTCGAGTGAAAACTAATAATACTGTGCTTTCAAAAGCTGAATACATGTTTTAAAAAAGGGGCCATGCGTCTTTTACTATTGCTTTCTGGTAATATCTGGTTTAATCTATCACATGGTCTGTTCAAGGTTCACAACCATGTGTTGTTGCTGAAAAATACTGATTTGACAAATTCAGGATACAGGCCACCCATCTAGGAACCTGTAAAATATGTGGTAAATAAGGGGGTTTCATAACAGTGTTGGGTCACAGTTTCAAGATGGCACAGATTTATAGAGTCTGAGCTGCTGTCAGACTGATTTCAGGACAAGCTGTCTTCAAGCATATGGACATTCACTCAGTCATTAAAGAGCATCTGGCGTTTTCCATGCCTGTGTGTGAATAAACATCACGTTCTGTTCCTGCCTGATCACAAATAGAAGTGAATCAGTCTGACTATGACATGGCTGTTTGCATAACCTCCCATTGACCTAAATCAGGACGTTTGTGCCCCCCCTTTCCTCGAAGTGTATTTCTCACACATTTCATCATTATATAATGTCAAAGTCAACTTTTTCTGTCTGCCCTTTTTATTCCCAGCAGCCATAATAAATATTTTCTTTCACTCTTGAGGTGTTTGGCAAATACTCTGCCCTTGTCAACCAAAACAAGGTGAAGCTAGAAATTCACAAAGGCCTAAACTGAGCAGAAGGAAGCCTCTAGGGCTGAGAAATGAAGCAATTATCCAAGTGTCAGAACTTGTAGTTGCATAAGCTGCCACTTGAGGCATGGTCCATAAATCAGTTGATCTCAGCTGGGCCCATATTAGGATGTCCAACTTCACTTCAGGGTAAGACTCGCTAAAAGCCTGGTACAAACGTTTTTTTTTTGTTGTTGTTTTTTTTCATTGTAAATTTTCTTCTCATGGCAACATGGACCACGAGAGTAAATCTTGCACTATTTTATATTTCAGCACTAACTGACAGGGATCCAACAGGCCCTTACAGCACTTAGCTTGTTAGCTTGTAGCCTGCAGTGTCTGACTTGGCCGATAGAATATCAAACTTGAGTGAAGTTTGATTATTTCCAGGTGTTACGATCCTGGGTCATATTTTGCTATTTGTTGCTGTTTTACTGTGCAGCTCTGTCTGTCTCCTCCCCTGCAGAGCGTGGCTGTGTGTGCAGAGTGTGATTGTGGGTGTGTCGACTGGATTAGGTGCTGATGCAGGTGTGACCTCTGATTAGTTAATCTGAGGAGGAATGCAATGTTCTGACTGGATGAAGATTGGTTCAAATCCCAAATGCTGCACCCTTATTTCCCCTTCTTGTGGCTCTACCAACTGATTAGCATTACGTTAGTCTGTGTGTTCTGTATTTTTTGTTTGTGTGAGCTGTGTGGGCCTGCTTTGATAGAGTGCATTTGTCTGTTCTGACCGTTAGATTTTTAGATCATTCATGTCAGCTTGTAAGTAGACTGCAAAATAATTCACTGTAGATACTAAGCACTGAGTGGCTGAGTAGGAGTGGGTAGCTTTTGTTTTTTTCCTCTTTTCTCTTGTTTTTATGGTTAGGAGCTCAGGTAAGGTATTTTTTGTTTGTTGTTTTGGCCTTTGCTCATCTCTAAAGATAATTAAAACTGCTGTTTTACTCTTACTTCAATTGTTTTGATGGTTTTCTTGGGAGTGCAAGAGTGGGGGTCACCTGTAGTATTATGTTTAGGTTCCTCCTCGGTCAGGATGTAACAGCTGATGTTAACTTTTTGCTGAATTAACATCAGGCGGTAACTGTATTGATAACTTGGATAAATCCTCTCCAGCTCCTCTTGCTCATCCATTTGAGCAAACTTCTGGATTTAGAGAACCAACATGGCCCACTCCAAAAATGGAAACCCAAAGCTTCAACGTCTTTATGGCACCACCAATGCAATGTTTATGTTTACAGGTGAGATAATACAGGACAGCCTGTCCCCTAGTTTGCCATCACTGAACTTCTATATCTTTTCTAAGAGAGAGAAACATGTTTTTAACTTTTCTTTTTGGTGGTAATTTAATGCAAAGACACACCATTGAATGTAGTTTCTTCTCAACAGCAATGTGAACTCAATTTGAACAGAATTTCAAACAAACTCAGAGATACATGGTACATTTGGTTTCTTTCATATTTTCTTGCAACAAACACAAACTATTCAGTCATCCTTGAAAAGACACCCTGGCTTAGCCATCGTTCAGGAAGATCTAAATGTGGATTCAGCAATAATAACACATCTGTTCAACTTAAGGCCTCATACCGAAACAATATGGCTTCATGAAACTGCAATCTAGCAGTTCAATAACAGATGAAGTAATGCAAGAAATGTGCAAATATACCGTTTATGTGTGTCTGTATGTGTGTGTGTGTATCTGTGTGTGATTGTGTTGTACAGGGAGAGTGAGAGAAACAAGTGGACTGAAACATATAGGTGCTAAACAAATGCTCGCACACCAGCTGCTTCCACAGTGAACACACACTGGGGCGTTTTCTGATCACATGGCAGTTATGCATCGTCTGAAAACATGCTGAGACATAAACACAAGTTCTCATTTTTCTGCACATCATGTGTTTGACTGAAAACAACATTACAGTATAGAGGTGTCACTGGTTTAATCTGACTAAAAGACTGCCGTATTCATTTGACACAGGTGAAATAATATCCTGATGTGTGGTTAGTTGTAGTCTTGACCCATTTGTGATTCAGAAACACTTTAGAAAATTAAAATAGTTTCAGTTCACTACATTGTACTGCAAAATGATCAAACCTCCTCCGACAGTCTAACCTAACGTTAAGGACATTGGCTGTCTGCCAGAATAGAGCTGTAGTGATTAAAGACCCTCAAGTGAGAAAACATCAGTGAGATAGATGAAACATCAGTGAGATAGATAAAGTGAGCTGGGGGGGATGTGAGGTAATGTAAGGTGATGGCAGTTTTGTGACTAACAGGATCAAGAAGAGTCAAAAGACTAAGGAGAGGTTAAGGCTGGGGGGAAATTTGTGGAAAACTTTTAAGGATCATTATAAAAATTGGGACCTGTGGCCCATTTCATCCATAATTAGGGCCTGTGTCCACTGAAGTTATTTTTTGTGCATCTGACCTTAAATTCAGAGTATATATCACAAGTGCTTACTGTTGCCAGGTTACAGAAGATGTCTCAAAGCCCTTCCACTTCCTTCAGTAGTGACTGTTATGTCTGTTTTAAACTTTCTTTCATGCCTCTCATTTGCTTTTTAAAAAGAATTGTGACTACACAATCCTGTCGAATGAAAGAGTTTGATTTGAGCTGGCATCTTTTCGGAGTACAGGATCAATTATGTGCATGAATGCCTTATTCTCTAAGAACTCTACTTAGAGAATAGAAAATCTAATTCTACTAGAATTGTACTTTCAAAAGAACAAGTCTGGTTTAGGTTTTTTGTCTGCCAATGTTGTTAACAAAGTTATGGGACCACTCTTTTTGATTTTGATTGGTCACTAAGGCCGTAAGGAGGCAGAGATAGGCTGACAGGTGTATTAAATTACTTAGTTTCAACCTACTAATAATTTTTAAAGCTTCAGTAGCTATCTTCTGATATACCAAACGATCAAAACACAAAGATTTTATCAACCTCTCATTGCTTTGAGTTAGTGTGCCAGCTTGTCGCCTTCTTGCTTAATTATGCGACTATCCTGAACTGCAGGGTGTAAATATAATCTTTTCTACAGTCACAATTAAGTGACATTGGTAGATTAAAAAAGTTGAACCATTTTTAACTCATGGCGGGAATTACTAAGCAACAAAAACAGCTTGCACTCAGGGTATTTTTGCACTTCAAATGCACAGACAACACTGGGCTGCATTAGTTTTGAATAGAAAATTGGTCCTGCCAATGCTGATTGTGGAAATAGGCCCTTACTTTCTACGAGAAGGGTACTATACCTTTAAATCTCTATTTTTGAAAAACATTAAGAGTATTTTTAAAACCAGTGTTTTCTAAGACTGAAAGACAGAAAAGGATCAGTGCTGTATGTGGACAAACAATAAGGAAATTTGCCTTTTTATCTCTTTTTATGGAAAAAAAAAACTACTGCTTCAGCTTGTGTGGAAAGCGTTAGATACAATCCTGCTTACTTTAGTTAAAACTACTGTTACTGAAATGAGAAAAGGTATTAAGTTTGCTCCTTATTAATGAGAAAATGGACTCTAAATAAA